CGGTAATCAACATCTGAATAATGTTCATTCTTTTCAATGCATATTTCCAGCCACCATGATGTTGCTGATTGTACCTTTTTGTAACCTGTACAACGAAACGTCGTAAACTTTCTATAAACGCACCTGAATAGGTTGTGTGCTCAACAGATATAATGATGTGTTAAAATAAACAAGGAAACAGATAACTTGTTGAAATGTCCAAATGGCAGGAACAGATAGCCCAGATAAATGCAATTAACGATACATATTACATAATTCCTATTCATTTTTATTAATTAATAAATTAATCTGTGGTAATTAATCTGAAATGTTAATATTTCGATTATTATACATCTTGATATGATGGGAAGAAAAGTCAATATTCGATTGATTTACTCAATATGAGTTTTATTCATCATTACATCCTTTTTGATTCTATGTAATGATTAATCAATGTAGTGTTGTTTTCTTTTCTCGTATGATATTTTATTCTGTATAATATACAATATTCTTTTATTCCATTGACTATGAACTATACTCAGCATATGATTTGTTATAACTGTGAGTATTTTTCATGTATGTGATTTCATTCTAATTATTAATCAAAACGGATGTAAAATCGATATATAAACGAGTGTATTTTCTACTAAGCTCGCTCAGTTTTCTGATTGCTGCAGAATATACTTCTCATTCTAAGCTTGGACTTCTTCCTCTAGATAGCGAGGCTGGGACGCATCAATAGCTAGTTTACTGGTCTTTGGTCACCGAGTCTTGTTTCTCGTTCGCAGATTATGTGAACTCGTGATAGCTTCAAACCTAGCACATCTTCGCTTAGATAATTTGTATTTCTCTTGACAGAACTAAATATCAAATTTTGTTGGAATATTGTACCTAATGGTATAGTTATTTGATCTGCTAATTATCGATGTATTTCTTTGAATAAATAACTACCTATCGATAATATCAAATATACTTTATTATGAATTAGTCAAAATTGAAAAATATTCATCAGTTGATTCGACTTAATACTTAATTGTATCAATATGATCTTATGCAAAGATATCAATATCTATTTCGGAATGAGTCCTATATTGAACAGTGTTGAAACTATTCAATAAAACAATGAAAACATTAAAATTTAACCATCAATCTCAGAGAATAAGCTACCCAAAATACATTTTTACGCAGAATAACTCTCTAAAGGATTCAGTACTACTCAATTTCTTGTTATTTAAAACTAGAAATGTACATTAATAAAAAAAGTTGAAAGTTATGTGTATTCGTTCATTTAATGTCGTTTTCATATATTAGAACACCACATTTAACCATTATTGTTTAATTTAAAACCCTTAAATGGAAAAGAGATTATAATTTGTAAGAAATAACTTGTTTATTTACTTAACAAAAATTGTCAAACCAATGTGAAGTATAGTGAGTTGATTCAATGACTCTATGTTCATTTGATTTGTATGTGAATAGTTAAGCTAAATGAACTAAATCATTTAAATTTTAACCAAATAATCTAAAGATAAATTGTTCGAGGCGAAACTAGACGATCTTAAGTTCAATTTCTAATGATGTGTTCATTGTTGAGAAATCATGAGTCAATTAAAGCTTCTGAGGAGTCCCATAATAGGACGAAACGGCCATCCACTGCTTCCAGGTTTTCCAAGGTGTTCTAGCTTCAATTGATTCATGATTTCAACTATTAAAAAAATTGGTAAATTTTAAGGAAGATAGATTTGCTTAGAGCTGGTCAATGTCATTCACTATTTGTTCACCAGATTTTAATCAATATACACGCACATACCTTTTGGGATTTGATCTGTATAAAACTCAAAGCTCATGACAAAAAAATTCTGTGGTTAGGCTCGAAAATAGGTAAGAGCAGAAGTAGGGCATAGTCTATCACAGATTTTTTTCAAACATTCGGTTACATATTTGTTATCATTAATTCTTTTTCTGAATATATATATATATATATATATATATATATATATATATATATATATATATATATATGAGTGCATATTATGTGTATGTTGAGAATGTGTAAACTAGACAACTTATCTAAGGCCTCTTTGTTTCTTTTTCCGTTCAATCATAGTCACATTTACCCTTTGTCATTTCCATTTTGTTTCATTTATTTTGTTTATTTATTATTTTAGTTCCTCCCCATTTTGTAATTTTGCATGGTGTGTTCAAATCAGATTTAAATTCATTGGTTTGAAAAATTCGATACTGGATATTAATTGAATACTCCCCTTTGTACATTTCTTTCTTTACAAAATGTTCTTTTTCCAGGTAGGAAAAGAGGAATTCAAACATGTAAAATGACATTTGAAAAAGACAAACATACAACAAGCACTTATGTACACACTCATGAATCCACAACACTAATGATATACATGAGTGTGTATACCATACACACCATTAATAAATTTCAATGTCACTCTTTCAAATTTTTCCATCAAATAATTTGCATTATCGTCGTCATTGTTAGGGTATCGGATAGATAGAGAGAAGAAATATATATAGCGACAATTTTGTAAGCCCTATCTGATCGATAATTGACTTGCTAGATAGATAGTGTGGTGGATGAATAGATGAATGAGTGAATTAATGAATAGATGGGTAGATGGATAGATAGAAAAACTGATCGACCACTCCTGATTGATTGACACAAGTCTAAGAGTAAACTATCAACTCATTATTGACAAGCATCTGGTCATGTGGTCATAAAACACGCAAATAATATATAAATATACGTACATTGATATGTATGTAAAAATTTGCATGAATATTATATATATACAGACTGGCAAGTCTCATATTTCAAGCAGTTAAACCTATCCATCTTATACTCATTTGAGAAAAAAATATTTACATAGAGTAAAATGAGTTTTTGGTTGTCATAGCTGCATGTGTTTTAACATCAGACAAGGACACAAAATAAGAGAGAGAGAGGGTAATAAGAGTAGTGATTACACTCTGAAAATAAAAACTAAAGAGCATTTTTCCATCAAAAAGGATTATATATACACAAAAGTAAATAGATAAAGAAAAGGAAGTGGTGGGGTGTGGTATGGTGGACTGAATGGGGTACAGGATATGTGTTACAACCGAATAATGAAGGAAGGGTTGATAAAGATGACCTTAATCGAGGTTTTTGCTTTATCTCACTCATATTTGCATAGTTATGGATCATATATATGACCCAATATTTTTTTGTTCAGATAAGATATCATAAAATACTATTCACATGGTATTACAAATACCGTTACTATGACAATTATAATAGGTGGATTATAATAAATAAATGAATAATTCAACAGAATAACATATCAATCACTTTATTCGAGGTTATTGAATTCAATGATCCAACCAACGAATTGTATTAGTCAACCAAATTATCATCAAAGCAAATGGAAAACACACCATCATTATAGTCTATAGTGTATAAACATTTTTGAGTATTTTATTTGTGGTCATATGATCATAAACATACAATCCATGTAGTTTCATGTTTACGTTTAGTTATGTTTACTTATTTAAAAAGAAGTTTTCAAATAAATAAAAAGAAAGGAAACAACACCATACATATCACATATGTTTATAGAAAAACATATACTACACACAAATACTGATTAAAATTAAACTGTACACAGTTACTTATGATAAAATGAAAAGTACCTGAATCAGTCGGATAGAAAGATAATGTACATTGTTTACACTGTTATCTTATGAAATCGTATGTGTGCTTGTTTCTATGCACAAGATGAAACAGATAAATAGTTTTAAATAATCATCATAACTTTAGTTCAAGTATATATTTATCTATAAATATTTACTAAATACTTTGTAATCAATATATGGGTTTATTAATTGTTATTACTATTGATGATAGTAATCATAGTAGTATTCGTAATAAATATTTGTTAATGATGAATTTTGTAATTGTACAAGTGATTTGTGACGATTGTTGACTATCATAGTTTAAATTTAATAAATAATTTTATTTGGACAACTATTGAAAACTAAGAAGTCCTGAATATTTGTTTCGTCCTAGTGTAGGACTCCCTTAACCTATATATCCACGATCTCACCAGAAATTAAATCTAAGACCTTTAATCTCTCTGTGAATGATTAAATCATAACCCATTCAGTCAATATCTAATAGTGTATTATGTCTAGTTTCGATCAGTTATCGATATTGTGCTATCATTTTTATTTAAAGAGACTACTAATTTTCCATAGTTTATATTTACCGAAGTTAAACATGATGACTATTGGAAACTGGTGGTCTAGAGGCTAAATGTTTTCGTGCGACACCGATGATCCTGATTTCGATCTCCTGTGGTGGTGTTGTGGGTGTGTGTTACTTGTAAAGAGTTCCATACTGAAGTGAAACAGCTCGCAGGTTATTCCTGATTTACATGATTATTTGATTGAGATTAGTCAGTGTGACAAACTATTAAATTCTACAATCATCACAAATCTCGTATATTTATGAACTTCACTATTTGTCAGCTGAAATCGACACAATCTATACTTTGAAATTAGAAATAATTATCATTTGTATGAGTTTTATTGTTATTAAAAAATGATTTTAGAAAAATACCATTGTCTAACCTAATGACTAGTTATTGAAGTACAATCATTCCAGCTAACAGTATCAGCAACAATGAAATTATTGTTTATTTTTTCAGTTAAATGCTATAATTCATCTAAAAGCTCTGAGCAATTTATTTTCCGAACTGTCTGGAAGGATAATAAAAAAGTTTACAATCAAACAAACAAGTTCATAGAACTTAACTCTATTATAATCATTCACTTGAACTGCACAGATTATCTACATTATCTCAAACTTGTACTTATTAAGTAATATTCAGTAAGAGGGATATAGATTGAAAATATGTCAAAAAAATAAAGTGGTTTGCAGGTTAAGCATTCATAATAATTCATTACAACCAGGCTTTTATTGCCAGTAAAATAAATTCGTTAAAAATATTATAACTTACTTTTTGAGTTTCTTGTACTGCCTATTTCATTATTAAACCCAATTGAACATTTAACAACCGATTTATTATTCGTTCCACATGATAAATCATTTTCTGAACGTTCATCTATTAATCCATTACATTCTTTACTGTTATTATTATCATTACTATGAATTATTCGTTCATGTAATAACATTTCCTCAGTAAATTCTTCATCATCTTCATTATCACCCGGCAGTTCATTCTCTTCAATTACTTCATCATCAATATCTTCCATTTCGGTGATTGATCCATCGTTTGCATAATCTATTATACTATTATTATTATTATTATTATCATTACTACTAGTAGTATGTGTATATTGATGTAGCTGTTGTGATTGTCTTAAATATTTCGATTGTATTGCGTTCCTATATAGATGTTGTTGTCCATTCATAAGCATCATATCATGATGATTGAATAATTCATCATGGAATTCTTTTGATGATAAATTCATCAAATCTAAATTTTGAAAAGTTTGATTAATTCCTGTTGGAAATACAGACGTTGCTGCTGTTGCTGCCGCTGCCGCAGCTGCAGCTGCTGTTGGGGATATTGACCCGGCTAGTGACAACGATGATGAAGAGGATAAAGGTTGTGAAAACGTTGACAGAGATGGTATACACCTAGATACGTCTGAATTAGAACGACATATACCAGCCATTGCTGCAGCTACCGCCGCTGCCGTCATCATTGCTGCTAATGAAGATGTGGATCCAGTTGATACTGTTGCTGGATAATTGGTGATTGATTGAGATTGACTTGAATCTAAACAATTAGTGTTTAAGATAGAATTAAATGTTGATTGAACACTTGGTGGCCTGTTTATTGTGGAATTTGTTATTGCTATTGATTCAGTAGCCAATGATGGTGATGTTGAAGAACAGCAAGTTGTTGATGGTGGAATAGAAGCAGCAGGAGGGAGAGGAAGAGGACGAGGAGGACGTGAACATAATCCAATGGTATCACTTGTATTATTTAACTTCGGGGAAGTTTTTATAAATATCGATGAATTCAATTGATTTTCATCTGATGAAATTGAAGAAACGCATGATGATGATGACGACGACGTTGATGATGATGAAGAAGCCGATGACATGCCTGGATCTGTTTGAGTCGAGTTATATGGAATGGTTGAATTCGACGAAGTGATGTTTAGTTTATTATCATTTGTCCCTTGAGTTTCAATTGTTTCATTATTCAACAAATTTGTTATGATACTACCATTATTCCCATCATTATTATTACGATGACTGTTAGAAATACATTCATTATCACTACTAATAGTCTTGTTATCATGATTATCAGTAGTAATATTGGTAGTATTATGCGTACTAGATGTAAACAATAGTGGAATTGATGAATTCTTTCCTGATAAATTATGATATGGAAATAAACCAATATTTTCTGCTTGTTGTGTACACCAGGCTGATAAAGCTGTAGCCAATATATTTTGATTATTCTCTGTTAACGATGGACAGTTAGTTAATTGTAATAGAAGTGGATTTGTTGATGCTCCATTTATAAAATTGGATGGTTGAATAAATGGTGGATAATTGAAAAGATTCTTTTGACTTGTTGAAACATTATTATGATTAGTGTTATTATTTAAACATGAAGTATTAGCTAATGATGAGAATCCTGATAATTTGTTCAACTGACAGTTGATTTGATTAAAATCCTGTAAATTAGACATTGAATCATCTGCTATTAATTGTCTTGGACTTTTACTTAAGTGAACTGATGATGTGTCACATGGTGGAGATAGAACTGGAGGGAAATTGTTTGAATTCGATAACAATCGTTGATTATTGCCAAATAAAGAAGCCGTTTGTTGTAGTGAATCTAAAGTAATATTGGATGCATGCCATGGATCAAATGGGTTTGTGGTGATATTATTATTACTACCATTGTTATTATTATTATTACCACTATTATTATTATTATTACTACTACCAGGGAATGAATTAAACGGCCAGCAACCACTAGCCATTAAAGCTGATAAAAACACTGGATTCATATAAGCTGGATAAGGTGGAAAATTCATTGATAACGGTGTATTGGACAATGGTGAATAAATTTGTGGATTGTCATTAATTGTAGTAGTTGTACCGGATGACAGACCGGAATCATTATCAATCTCAGAATTAATAGATTTCTGTGTCTGTTGATGTTGACAATCACGATAGAAATTCGATAACTTTACTGACTTACTATTACTAGGTGGAATGAGAGTAGTAGTAGTAGTATTACTATTTAGCATAGGAATACAAGAAGAATGAGATAATGACGAAGAAGATACCATAACTTGTTGACTATTCACAATGTGATTTTTATAACACGGCGAACAATTTGAATTGACATATGGATAGGAATAATTCCATTTGTCAATTGAATCATCTTCATAATGACAACGTTTATGCTCTGCATTTAACAGTGATAATTCGCAACTGGAATGACGTTTACGACTTCGACGTATTACACGATGCGGTTTATTATCATATTCATGTTTACAAATAGTAGTGGATGTAGTTGCTGTTGTTTTTGTCATATTCACTGAAGTGGATGGATTGATTTCAAGCTGTGGAGGAGGACTAGATGTACAGTATAAGGATGAATAACACGAAGAATCTAGGCATATATCCTTTTTCTCTTCGTCTTCTTTCACTTCATTTTCATCCTCCTCAAAATTCTCACTATCATCATGAGATGAACAGTTATTTCCAAATATTATTGATTTTTTATTCAATGAATTTGATGGTGTTATAACAGGTGTTAGTAAAGCAGTTGGTAGACAACATCCATCATGTTCATTTGTTGCAAACTGTGAAAAATAGAAAATTATAAAAAGAAAACAGGAAGAAAAATTGATGAAGCTGGAAACGTTTTTATTTTTTAAAGAAAATACATAAAAAGATATCGTTATTCTAAAAGTTACTTTCATGATTATCCAACAGCTTTAAAAGTTATTTATAGAATTATGACCAGTTTGTGTCTGTCTCTACAGTCATACTTAGTTAAGAGGTACCGAAAAATTCATGAAATAATCTTAGCTAAACCATCATTGAAGGCCCGGAAGCACTAGACAACTGTTCCGCCATGATATGAGACTCCTCATTAGTGTATATCCACGATTCCACTACAGGAAATGAAATCCAGGGCCTTTGACCTCTTAGTTTAGAAGTTAAGCTTTCTCTCGAAAACAGAAGGTCTTGAATTAGATTCTCTGTGTCGAAATGGTGGATGCTCACTAATACTGAATAGTCTCATCAGAGGTTCAGTGCTTCTTAGTTTTCTGTAGTGGTTCACTTAAGATCGCTTTATGATTTAAATCATGATAATTCACTAACCAGACAAAACTTAATGTGTTAAACCAATAGATAATACCCCTAATGTAAAGATTAGTATGATACTATCAGATTATTTAAATTCAACAATTATTTAAACCTACTACTACTGCTCAATAGTTGAAGTTCAAATACTTTAATCACACTATGCAATTAACTAGCCAGTAACTAATCAGTTAAAAATATTCAAATCACCTCTAAATAACATCACTATGATTTATTTATACATAAATGGTAGTTATCTTGTTTTATTCTCATCTGTTTTCTATTCTCTATTCAAATGTTTCCACTTTTTTTTCATTCTTTCTTTTTATTATTGTTACAAATATTGTCAATATTGGTTTAGTTTAAAACTAATTAAATTAAATTCTTAATAAATGAATTGTTAATTTACTTATGGAAATATATATATATATATATATATATATATATATATATATATATATATATATATATATATAAATTTCGATACACTACAAATATTGTACTTTGGAAATTGAACAAAAGAAAAAGATTGACCCATATTTTAAACCAAATGTAAACATAATAATAATAATTATTTTTTCATATATATACATGAATAGATGATTTTATTCCCATGTTGTTTAATCTTTATATTAATATTCTGTTACATTTTGATCAATAAATTTAATTTATTTATAACAAATCCTGTTTCAGTCTTTCACCATAGTTATATACACGAGCGTATATATATTTTTTCAGGAATGTGTATGTGTGCGTGTGTGTATGTGTGCACGTATATAAGAGTGAGAATATTTGTTGATTTGCATAACTCATTCCATTTGTTTATCAGATCTTCGATTGAGATCATGAACCGATTGATGTTAGACCATCATTGAAAACTTGGAAACATTGGATGGCCGTTTCGTCAGGTCTTCCCCTTGGTCATTTATCTCTTAACAGAATATCTACACATATTATAAAATTATAAACTCATTGAATTACTTACATGAAGAAAAAAAAGTCACCAAATATTTTGTCTCAAAGAGAAAGAAAACGGAAATGAGTTATTCATTGTAACGATAAAAAAATGATCCACATAAATGAAATTTAAAATTAACATAATAGTTTGATAAATCAATTTTTATAAGTAATTTAATTAATTATCTTAATTAATTCTCAATTTAACCAATATTTATATATTTATTTTAAATGTGATACTAATTTATACAATTTATTGATTTTCGATAAAATCTAATTTTTTTTGGTGCAACAAAAAGGAAAGATTATTATTATTAGATTGTTTAATGCTAATAACGATGTGAATAGACGAATAATAACTTAAAACTTATAGTTGCTGATTATTTCATCTCTCGAATGTAGGTTTGATTGCTATACTCTTTCTATTATGTTTCGGGAAACATGAAACAATTACTTATTCATTAAAACACTTACTCCCTTTGATAAATTTCGATAATGTAATAAGAAGACGAAGTTTATCAGAATTATGTGATATATTTATGCAATACATTTCGAACAATCTAATCACACATATACTTGTTAAGAACATTTATATATAAAAATAAAAGGTCAACTAGACAGGTTAAGGGTAAGCCATAACTGATTATTACATTATATTACTGTTGTTATTCTTATAACTACTGAATATATTTACTTTTCCTATATATAAATAAACAGAAAGATATCTGTACACAACAGACTACAATGATGTTGAACGGAATGTACAATAATGTATAGTCATCTAGACCAGAAATTGCATTTTAATTTGGCATAATTCTATCAGTATTATAGTCTAGAAAAGACAATGACTAACATTCAATAATTAATTAATGTATAAATAAGTTGAACTTGTAAGTAGTTAGTAGTTACTGGAAGTGCTCTGTGGTAATGTTTATCAACATTGGGGCACTTTGTAACTCAAGTTCAAATTCAGTTGACACTACCAATTGAAATTATTTCATAGACATTCCTTAATAATAAGTATCGAGTTTCACAAAATCTAGTATTATAGGATCACGACAATTCATCATCGTCTCAAACAACATAATCTTTATGACATTTACAGTTTATAGAGTGATAACTACTATTGGATAATTTAAATTACTTGAAATTCAATGCCCTACACTAAATTTTTCCAATAGTTACTCATAGATTATTGATTATTATAATGAAAATAAAATCTATAATTAATTATATACGAATAATTGATCCAATATTTGTACCTTGATATAATACATTAAAATTAAATACCTAATAGTCAAAGTTTACGTTTATCGATTGATTATAAAATTCATGTAAAGAAAGACCTTTGTTCTATAATGATCTCTTTTTGTTAAATACGAACAATTACATTATCAATTGATCATTAGTACATGTAGAATTGAAACAAAATCATTTAGCTTTATAGTATTTATCATTTAATAATTAGATTAGTTTGAAATGTAGTGGATTTTTGATAGAGATTTTAATGGATAATTTCAAAATAATATTTATATATAATTCAATGTCAACCAGTAGTTTAAATGAAAATTTATGAGTAGTAAATCATTATTTCATTAAAATTTTAAGACTTCACATTCATAGGATCCAGAATATTCATATATGTACTAAACGTTTAAGTCATAGTTTGTAATGAAAAACTGTCTAAGATGTAAAATAATTTTTGAAAATAATTTCAAGATTTGATAGCATTGCGTTTAATCATATTTCTGAGGGATATCAGGTCAGATTGCTAGGAGAAACTTTGAAATTATTTGAATAATAAGTGTAATTTTATATATAATGCTTTCTACATATTTGGGCCTCAATCGCTGACAGTGTGCTCATTCAAATTTTGATGAATATTCGTATAGACATTCATTTGATTTAAAAATTTCTTAAGCCTTATTATTAATTAATTGTTTCTTTACTGTTTAGTATGACACATTTATACAATGATTGTATAAATATCGAAACAATCTATCTAATTAAAATATATCCATTGCAATTTAGTGTGTAAACAAAGTTGAAAAGGGACTGGATACATGAATGAATATGAACTATTGATCTATAAAACTTAACCTAACTAATCAAATGACAATATCATTTCTGTCATCAAGTACTGAAATACATTGATAGATTAGATTAAGTGTTTTTCACATCAATTATTCATGTGTATGATTTTGTTTTATAATGAAAATATATCAGGTATTACAAATAAGTGATTCATTAAAGATTTGTTGACATAAGAGAATGATCAATAAACGATAAAAATAATTATTCATCATCAATGTAATATCTAACACAAAAGAGTATCGTCTTGAATCATTATACTGAAATAATGAAATGTGATGGACAGATACAGGAAGATAACTATCCTAATTAAAGTGATCTCAATCTTTAAATGGAAAATATTCAAATTGTATACTAATAATTATTAATCTAATTTATCCATTGAATTTAATTATAAAATGTCAATCAATCATTAATAATAATAATAATAATAACAATAATAATAATGATTGTGAACTAATGAACTTTATCTAGTTAACCTTAAATTTTCAATAAACTTCAATGTAACCTAATAGAATTGACAAGGAATTAGAAGAATTAGGTAAATAAATAAAAAAAGGATATATAAATCAGTTAATGAATTAAGAAAGAATAACTAAATAATTGACATCAGTCATTTTTTATTAACAGAAAATAATCAGAATTTAACCCTGGAGTTTAATGATTAATTCATCACTGAGTAATTAGTACAAGTTCTCTGTTCAATCTCTGATAATATAATTCGAATGCACTACTGAAGAATATCATACTGGATGGAAACACTAGTCCAGTGACCTCTAACATTTGAATGATATACTAGCTAAATTTAATCCCTGATGAATACTATCTAGTAATTCGTTTTTCAGTTTTATTTAGTTACTAAATGTGACATATAGTTAAAACAGTATGGAATCAGATCAGATTAAACATCAGTGATACATAGGATATGATATAATCTATGAAGACCTAGAAGTAATTTCCATCAGAATTCGATGTCTATCAAGTTATTTATGAGTAACACATGACAATATATAAAATCAAATTCAAGGATTGAAAATTTCACAGAGAACAAGGCACATTTAAACAACTGTATCAGAATTTAATCAATTATATTCCCAAGGAAAATAAAAAAAAGACTTTATTTCAAAGTTAAAATTAGTTTTTATTAAGAAGTACATTCAACCTATATAAAATCCCCTACAAATTATTCGATCTAATAATTACACGATATTATTTTTGCATGAATTAAATTGTATGTTATCAATAACTGAATTGTTATAAATCATTGAGTCATGAAATGCTTTATTACATACTAAGATACTTAGAACATATAATCAGGTTTCATCTTTGATTTCTATAGGGATAGCGTTGTGAAACTTTATAATGTGTGACCGACAAATTACAAATTAGAATATGAACATTATTTTTTTATCAGAAGGGGTTTTGTGGAGATTTTAGAAATCTCACTAGTTGAAATCATGAGTCAATTGAAGTTAGACCACCATGGAAAACCTGGAAGCACTGAACGGCCATTTCGTCCTAGTATGGGACTTCTCATCAGTGCGCATCCACGATCCCACTCCGC